TATAAGCAGCCTTTATGGAATTGCTAAGTCTTCTCAGAGCACAATTTGAAAACTATTAACTGGATATAACAACTTTTGCGGGGGAGAAGAACTGAGACGCAAAAGAGACTAGATAGATTATTCAATATCAAGCAATTTATAAAAATATTTTCCCACCCTCACTTTATTATGCATGTGTTTGTAATCAGTAATATTCTAAACAAATCATAATTTTTATAATATTAGCTGAAACTTCTTATGGATTTGGTGGTTTCTCAGCAGTTCTTTTACTTCACATGATCAGTCTAAGCCAATCAATATCACTCTTTCTTCAAACTACTATGTACTTCAAGAATAAGCATGCGATCCAATTTTGGCATCCAAGAGATAATTCTTTTCTTTTTCCTCTTTTTTCATAAATAAGATTATGGGGTGCCTCCAGAGGTGCCTTGGATAGGTTTATAATTTGGTAAAGAAAAAACAGTAAACACTGCTCACATTTAAGGCCTAATGCAAGGCCTGTCTCCATTATTCAAATTTTGTTCCATTACTTTAATACATGTTGAGTAGTCTATTTTTACCAGAGAGTAATCTGCCTACCTGCTTTCCTGAGAAGCCCTACTGCTTGATCCATAGGATGACTTTAACAGTCATTTTATGTAAGGCACAAATCCAGAGGTGGTATATGAGATCTCACTAAAGAATCCTTTGATGTGGATTTGAATTGAGGATTAAGACAGAATTAGAGAAGTTGTACTGTGGCATCCCTGGCATTCCTGTTTCCTGCTGCTTCTGTTTCAGATTCCTTGATAGCATGTTTTTGGGACTCCTCCTCTCTGAGTTGACTGTACTTGTTAGTCTTCCATACTGGCTTCTTCTCTAATCTAGGAATGTTGGAGTTCCTTAGGACTCTGTGATTTTCTGTCCTTTAATAACTTCTTTCCACAGTTTTAAGTACTATTTTGAAAACTACATAAAACATTTTTATTTTATGTGTAACTTTTAAAAATCTTATTGATACAAGAGAGAAGGAGTATCTCCTAGAGGTTTCTTAGTCTCATTCATAAAAGAATTTAAGAATGGACTCAAATAGAAGATTTAGGACAATTTTATTAAAATTTAAAGACATCCTCAGGGCAAGGGAGTTGAAAATCTTGGCATCTAGTTTGAGGAGGAGAATGGAGGGGAGAAGGAACAAAGTCATGAAGCCATGCAGGTGTAAAGCCTGCATGGAAGTCACACACATGGCCAATTGGCAGATACATGGCAGGGAGAAGGAAACTTCAGAGAAAAAGTAAAGAAATACAGGGTGCTGGGGCAGCCCAAAGCATTAGAGAGAGCATGCTTAGAAAAGGTGTATGAAGAAGAAAAGGAGAAAAATTACACTTCTTACAGAGGGCCAACATGTCTGTGGCTGATATATGGAAGCACACAGCAAAAACCACTGAACAGGACCACTCCATGGATAGGAACAGCAGTTTATTTTGGGAACAAACCAACTGCTGGGATTCCTCTCAGAAAGCAGAACAGGTTTTATAGGCAGTTAGGGGCTCAGGCAGCTTTCCATGATGCTCCTGCCTGGTTGGGGAGGGCGGCAGGAGGGGATGACTGTTGGGGAGTGAGGAAGTTGTGTCTCCTGATAAACAGTGGGTTTTGAGTCACCTGGTATCTGAGGAATGCTAGTTTCAGTTTCTTCTTTCTGGTTGAAGAGCCTGTTAGCCTGCCATTCAAGGGAGCTTGGCAGCATTGCTGCCATTTTGGGGACCTAACAGCTGGGTCCAGAAGCACTGCACTAGGAGGTGGGAAAGGTGAGTCTTCCAACGGATAGACTAGAGATTTTATAGAATTGACCAGTTAATCTTAGGTGACTTTTACTACTCTAACATTATATGTATGAGTGTTTGCCTGCATGCGTGTACATGTATCATGTGCATGCGATGCTTGTGGAGGTCAGAAGAAGGCATTGGATCCACTGGAACTGAAGTTGTGGAAGGTCCTTAGGTGCCATGTGAGTGCTGGGAACCAAACCTGGGTTCTCTCTCTGCAAGAGCAGCCAGTGTTCTTAACCACTGAGCCATTTCTCCAGCCCCAGATGTTTTTATTTTAGAAAAAAACTGTGTTTATACTTTTGTCATCATGTTCTTGATGCAGCACATAACAAAATAAGGACTTTTGAGATACAAACTACATGATAACAGCCCCTTCCTTTAGACTCCCAGAATTAAAGAAAACATATACATATACACATATTTTCAACACTGACAGTTTTTTAAATAAAACAGAAATGCCATTTCTCTAGAATGAAGGGAAACTTAAAAGCTGGTAAATTTATTGAGCTTTTAAAAAATAAAATAGCATGTACAAGCTAAGGGCAAAACCTATTGAGTAACAAAGTAAAAAATTAACTTTTTATTTAATGATCTAATTAGCATTGTATTATTCATTTTCAGATATTGAGAGCACAAAATTTTTCTGTAGAGTGCAACATCTGGAAGAATATAAGAATTGAAAGTAAAAGCATTTGTTACCATTTATATCTATGCAATAAAATGGCATTATAAAAATATTGATATAACTCAAATTCATTTATAGTCATTTTATAATTTTAGTACAAAACCCTTCAATTCTTTTTCAAGTGTCTCTTGTTTTGTGGACTTCTGATATACATAAAACTTTCATACCATCCAAAACATATATTCATCTAGTGTGTGTGAATATTTTAACAGCTTGTAAAGAGAATTGCTTCCTCTTAGATGATTCTGGAATGGGCACAAGGTCGGCCTCTTCTCTGTGTGTACACGTATGTTCTTTTTATAATCAGTTTGTAGCCACTGGAGTCACTGGTTTGGAAAGTAGGGTCCTGGCCTTCCTGTTGCTTTTTCTCCTTCTTTGGTCTTTTTCAAAGAGGCCATTCACATTACTACATTGTACGTTAGTCTCTTCCTTTGGAGTGACATCTGCAAAATCTGCTAGTTCTATGGCACCATCAACTGTTTCATATGTTTCTGGATCTTCATTTTATTTTTTTTTCTCTTGAAAATTTTTTCAACAACTTCCTCAATGCCAATTTCTGCTAGTTTTCAGAAAGCATAGAGCTCTCGAATTGCAAACTTGTAGTAGTTTTCCACGAATTCAGAATGCTCCAGGAGGGAAGTCTAAGCAGAATATGTCAAATTCCAGTTCATCAGTCACATTTATCTCCAAGGTTTTCTACTGTTCATATGACATCTGATCAGATTTAGGGATGGAGACCTTAAAATAACCATGTACTAAACAACCAATGTAATTAGAAGACATTCAACTGTATCCATTATCTTTTGACCTGGGTCAGAGCAGAACACAGCAAAATCTGTTTCAGTATTAAGATGAATGTGACTTTGATTATAAATATCTCCCAGTTACCTACAACTTTGATGTTGCCATATACAATAGGGACACCTAAGAGATTTCTCTAAGAAGACAGTTCAAAGGTGAAATACCTTTAAAAACATTCTGTCACGCTTAGAGCTGCTTGCTCATGCTGGTGCATTTCCTGCTTAGGTAGCAGGATGACAGGGTCATGTGCCTGCATTGTAGTGTGGCCACCAGGGCACAGCAGCAAATTTATCTTTAAATTAAGGCTTAGTTCAGATACCACTTTCTTTGTTTTTTTTTAATTATTTTTTTAAATTTTTAATATTCTATTATTTTTATTTTATGTGTATGTTTGTATTGCCTGTGTGTAGGTAAGTGCACCTGTGTCATGCAATGCCCGTGGAGGAAAAAAAAAAAGGCTGTTGGATCCCCTGGAACTGAAGTTACGGATGGTTCTTAGCTGCCATGTGGGTGCTGGGATTCAAACGTGGGTCTTCTGTAAGAACAGTCAGTGTTCTTAACTGCTGAGCCATCTCTCCAGCCCCACACCGCTTTCTTTGTAAAGCCTTCTTGATGCCTGCAACAGAACATATATTTTTCACATAATTATTTCATGCATACATTTTCTTATTAGAAGCTTTTAAACTTGGGCATTGGAGAGGTTTTTTTTTTGTTGCTTGAATAAGTAATAGATAAAAATGTCTTTCTTCTGATTAGTATTCTGTTAATGCAAGATCCAAGGTCATAATGCTATCACCATGTGATTAACTCTTCCTCTTCCATCACCACATATTGCATTCTCATCTTGCTCATCTTGTAAAGGAAGTATGAGAAGTAGACCTTGATGGACCAGTAACATTATGTTGAACACTCCTCTGGGACACCCTTTCTATCAGGTTCCCAATCCACACCATCAGGTGCAACAAATGCTGTACACAGTGTTAATCAGAGAAGCATCTCTTTTAAATAAACTGCAGTTAAATGTAGAGACTTGTGACTATTCAAAGTATGAGAATAAGTGAGGGTTGAGCAGTCATCCCTAAACAAGACATTCATACCACTTCCTCTAAGGCTCAAGAACACTGTGGAAGGTGGGGCAGAAAGAATGTAAGGGCTAGATAGGGAGAAGGACTGCAACATGCTGTCTTCTGGGTATGATACAGCCATTGCAGTCTCATGATCTCATAGCTGCCATTGTGCACTGGGCCTGCACAAGACTGGCCTGTCATCCTTCAATCTTGGATCAGGGAGGGACTCATGTGACCATAACCCATCTTGCTGAAATATTAGCTACTGGTGGAGTCTGGGAAAGAGGCAGTCATTATCTTTACTTGTGTATTCACAGGTGAGCCCAGCAGGCTCCAGTGAATAGTTTGAAATCCACTGTCACACAGACAGCCCTGCTTAAACTCAGTAGGTCACAAGACAAAACAAAAATCATGAATGTGAGAAAGGGACTTTAGGGAGGAGGTGAGGGATTGATAGGGGTGGGAGGGAGATATGAGAGGCTTGAATGCAGTATATACATGTATGAAATTGTCAAAGAAGAAATTTAATAGAAGTTATATATATAAAATATTCTTTTGATATATAA